CTGAGCACTAGCTCAACCAGTGCTCAGCCATCCAGATGCTCACCAAGGAGCAAGTAACAGAGTGGATCAAGACCAACAAGAAGTGCTGGCGTTGTGGAAGGGACCAACAGGCATCCCAGTGCACCCTCAAGAAGCCCTGCGGTCTCTACAAGGGAACGCATCTACAAGTCCTTCACAAGGTCAATGCCAGAACCCCAAAGAGGCACCAAAAGAGGAGAGCTGCCTGGTAATCACAGCCACAGACGTGCTTTACCTAGACAGACCAGCTGACTGTAATAGCATCCTACTGAAGGTGATCAGGGTGCTCCTACACCATGGAGACCGTACCCTCGACACCTACGCTATTCTGGATGACGGGTCCGAGCGTACCATGCTCCTTCCAGATGCTGCAGATAAGCTTGGGTTACAGGGGACCCCAGAGGAACTAGCCCTCAGAACCATTCGCCAGGACATCCAGACCCTCCGTGGTGCATCAGTGACCTTCCGCATCTCTCCTGCCTCGCAACCCAAGACCAGTTTCCAGAACAAAGGGGCCTTCACCGCGAATGGACTACCAGACCATTCCTATCCAGTGACCAACCTTCTGAAGAGGTACAAGAACTTGGTTGGTCTCCCCCTACAGCCGTTCATCAACGCCAAGCCTCTAGTCCTCATTGGTGCAGATCATCCTTGTTTGATCACCCCCATCGAAACAGTGAGGTTGGGTCTTGTACCAGACTTGGATGGACGCTTCAGGCAAGGTTGGTGGAGCAACACCTCCGGCCACAGCAGTGTTTAGTGATGTCCATCATCCCCCCAACTTCTGAGTTGTTCAGGAGCGTTGAGAAGCTCTGGCAGGTTGACACCTTACCGTTCCAGAATGAGAAAGAGGTGTTCCGGTCGAGGCAGGACCAGGAAGCCGTCGACCTACTCGAGACCAAGACCGCACGCATAGAGGTAGACGGAGTGTTTCGCTATGCCACCCCGCTACTGCGCAAAAGAGACACGACCTGCTTCCAAGCCCCTAAGGAAGGGGTGATGCAAAGCCTTAGAAGCACGGAGAGACGGCTTGCTAAGGATCCAGAGAGAGCTGGAGCCTACAGTGCTGAGATACAGAAGCTGGTGCAGGCAGGCTCAGTTAAGAAGAAGAATCGTGGTACATCCCCCACCACATGGTGAGTCACAACGGCAAGAATCGCATCGTATTCAACTGCTCTTACCAGTTCCAGGCTCTCAACCTGAATGAATCCCTGCTGCCAGGACCTACCTTGGGTGTGTCACTCCTGGGATTACTGTTGCGGTTCCGCGAACACGCCGTCGGATCAGTGGCTACATCAAGGGGATGTTTCATCAGCTCCGCCTCCTGCCTGAAGATAGGCCCCTCCTACGGTTTGTGTGGCGCGACATGAAGAGAGAAGAGCCCCCTGACATCTTTGAGTGGCAGGTGCTTCCCTTTGGCACCACATGCATCCCATGCTGTGCAATCTTTGCCCCTCCAGAGGCATGTCACAGAAAACAGCAAGCCTGGCGAAGATATTCGGTTCTCCATAGAGAGGTGCTTCTATGTTGACAACTGCCTTCAGAGCGTGCCAACCCCAGCAGAAGCCAGACAGCTAGTGGACAAGCTATGAGAGATCCTGGCATCCGGCGGGTTTGAGCTACGCCAGTGGCCAGCAACATGCCAAGCATCATCAATCACCTACCAAAGGAGGCCAGATCAGACAACATCAAGCTTTGGTTTGCCCAAGAGAAAGAAGATTCACCTGAGACTACCCTAGGCCTCAGCTGGCACTGCCAGTCGGACACCTTGGGGTACAAGCATCGAGCCATGGACTATGGAGTGCCGACCATGCGGAATGTGTACAAGGTTCTCGCCAGCCAGTATGACCCCCTTGGGTTCATTCTGCCGTACACCACCTGAGCCAAAGTGTTGGTCCAGTGCCTCTGGGATAAACATCGGGACTGGGATGACCCTCTTCTCCCTCAAGATCTTCTCCAGGCTTGGAACAATTGGGAATGAGAGCTACAGATCCTGCCACGCATCACCCTGCCTAGGTGCTACGTACCTGCAGATGTCTACCAGTCGAGTGTCACCAGAGAGGTCCATGTGTTCTGTGACGCATCAGAGAAGGCCTACGGGTCTGTCGCGTAGCTGAGGACAGAAGATAGTCACAGCAAGACCTACCTGTCATTCCTGATGGCCAGGTCCAGAGTTGCTCCTAAGCGACTACATTCCATGCCAAGACTGGAGCTCTGTGCAGCCGTCACTGGAGCCCAGCTTGCCAAGCTGCTAGAGAAAGAGCTTACCCTGAAGATCGACCAGACCACCCTGTGGACAGATTCCACAACTGTGCTGATGTGGCTGTAGTCGGAATCCTGCCGCTTCAAAGTTTTTGTAGAAACCCGGGTGGCGAGATTCAAGAACTTACAGACCTCCGTGCATGGCGCTATGTAGATTCGGCGAGGAATCCCGCAGATGACATCACAAGAGGCAAGACTCTGAAAGACCTTGCGGAACCCAACAAATGGAGCCAAGGACCACCGTTTCTCCAGACAAGTGGCCAGCTAAGCCAAACGCTCATCCTGAAGAGGACATGTCTGAACTCCAGAAGCCCACCTTTTGTTGTGTCACTGCAGTTGCTGGTCCCCAAGACCCAGATGTGAGCCAGTGTACCACATGGAAGGAGCTTCTAGAAGTCACTACGCATGAGCTCCGTCTCCTGAAAGATGGTAAACCTGTCCCGTCCAGCAGTCGCCTACTTACTTTGTCACCTGAGCTTGACGAGTCCGGAGAGCTCATCCGAGTTGGTGGTAGACTACGTCGCAACAATTTCAAAGATTTTTACTGAGTTACAGTTCATATAAGGAAATCAGTCAATTTAAATACATGTATTAGGCCCTAATCTATGGATTTCACATGACTGGGAATACAGATATGCATCTGTTGGTTACAGACACCTTTAAAAAAGGAGCGTGTATCAGAAAATCAGTGAGTATCTGGTGTGACCACCATTTGCCTTATGCAGCACGACACATCTCCTTTGCATAGAGTTGATCAGGCTGTTGATTGTGGCCTGTGGAATGTTGTCCCACTCCTCTTCAATGGCTGTGCGAAGTTGCTGGATATTGGCGGGAACTGTACCACACTGTTGTACACGTCGATCCAGAGCATCCCAAACATGCTCAATGGGTGACATGTCTGGTGAATATGCAGGCCATGGGAGAACTGGGACATTTTCAGCTTCCAATAATTGTGTACAGATCCTTGCGACATGGGGCCGTGTATTATCGTGCTGAAACACGGTGATGGCAGTGGATGAATGGCACGACAATGGGCCTCAGGATCTCGTCACGGTATCTCTGTGCATTCAAATTGCCATTGATAAAATGCAATTGTGTTCGTTTTCCGTAGATTATGCCTGTCCATACCATAACCCCACCGCCACCCTGGGGCACTCTGTTCACAATGTTGACATCAGCAAACCGCTCGGCCACATGACGTCATACACGTGGTCTGAGGCCGGTTGGACATACTGCCAAATTATCTAAAACGACGTTGGAAGGGGCTTATGGTGGATAAATGAACATTCAATTATTTGGCAACAGCTCTGGTGGACATTCCTACAGTCAGGATGCCAACTGCACGCTCACTCAAAACTTGAGACATCTGTGGCATTGTGTTGTGTGACAAAACTGCACATTTTAGTGGCCTTTTATTGTCCCCATCACAAGGTGCACCTGTGTAATGATCATGCTGTTTAATCAGCTTCTTGTTATGCCACACGTTGTGTGTGGATGGATTATTTTGGCAAAGGAGAAATGCTCACTAACATGTATGGCTGTGGCTGCTTCGCGTGATATATTGTCTCTACCTTTGTGCTGTTGTTTGTGCCCAACAAGGTTTTACCATGTTTGTGCTGCTACCTTGTTGTAGTCATGTTGTGTTGCTGCCATGCTGTGTTGTTGTCTTAGGTCTCACTTGTCATGATTTTTATTTTTAATCCCAGCCCTCGTGACCGCAGGAGGCCTTTTGCCTATTGGTAGGCCGTCATTGTAAATAAGAATTTGTTCTTAACTGACTTGCCTAGTTAAATAAATGTTAAATAAAAGTAATAAAAAAGGGATGTAAACTAATTTGTGCACAAAATTTGAGAGAAATACACTTTTTGTGCGTATGGAACATTTCTGGGATCTTTTATTTCAGCTCATGAAACATGGGTCCAACACGGTACATGTTACGTTTCATAGTTTTGTTCAGTGTAGTAGTCAGAATGGATCACTATTTAATTAAATATCTCAATATACGCTCCAGACATCAATAGTGTAATAAGTTAAACCAATAATGTAATAACCTAAAATCACTCTTTCTTTAATGGCATGCATATTAAGAAACATTTTGCATTTGCATCCATTGCCACAACAGACTTGCAAGGGGGGTTACTATTGCACTTCCATTCTGACCTTGCAAACATCCAGTGCCGTCAGAGAGGAAAAAAAACAACTGCTCAATTTTAAGACACCTTTCAGTCATGCGATTAGACAAATTGTAATTATCACAAAAATATTAAACAGGATTTTCACTCCTCATCTCAGGATAGACCAGGCTACTTTGCTTTACAGAGATGAAACCAGACTCATGTCAGACACTCACTCACCCTTAACCCATTGGTCCAAGGCCAAAATCTGTTTTTTCCACTACTTTCAATATCTGCCTTCACAGTCCTCATGAGCCTCACATATGGAAGTGTTACACCTTTTCTTTTTCAGGTCAACCAGTATACAAAGTTGCCTTCATGGCGCCATTTTACATATGTTCTGTTCTTGTGTAGATATAACAGATAATAATACAGTCCCAAACTGTTGTCATATCTAAATGTGTTGGAATTCAAATGCCATGATCTCCCCATTTATGTCTGCTGGGAAACATGAGTACTGGTTTAATATACTGTCCAATTACATTCCCTTGGTAATATCAAATAAGGATTCAGGAATGTGGTGTGGTGCGTAGTCCACTATTACTGAAGCATGACACTTGATATGCATGTTTAGTTTAGTAATTCTGTTATTACATTGGTTAAAATTATTACATTCATAAAAGTTACCCACTTCATAATGTAATAATCAACGCATAATGTAATAATTACATTATGCACAAAAACGTTATTAGCGTTATAAACATTATTGGCAATCTATTACATTATCAGCATTTATTATATTATAAATGAAAAAGTTATTACATTATTAGCAGCCATTACATTATTGGCTGTTATTACATTGTCAGTTGCTACATACATTGTTGAAGATGGACAAACTTCATACATGCTCTGTCACATAGCAGAAATGACACTTCCTAACGTTGAACAATTGATTACTACAAATCCTAATATTGAACAATAGACAACTACACATCAGAACACAGATACTTGGTTTTTATTTTCAATCCTTTTGTTCCCTAAAATTGTTATCCTTCAGATGATATACTTAGAATTGATTTGAAACACATGATCATGTTATACCACAGGCAAAAACAAAGCCAAACGATGCTGGGAAGGCCCACGCTAGTCCTGGGAATGTGCTCCATCATATGACTCAAGAAAAAGTCTCAAGCAATGGCTTTTTCACTTAGTTACTGGGGAGGGGCAACTAACTATTTCAAAGATGGCCACTATAATGAGTTTGTTTAGTTTTGAAATATCTGATATTTCTATATGACCTTCCTTGATCAACCCTGACCTAAAACCACAAAAGGGTACATGAAAATACATCCACAAGAAAATATCGGTCTATGCTAAACTTATATATATTTTTGGTCTGAAACAACAACATAAAGTGATAAATAATCCTCATCAGTCCTAACCAGGAGTGTTCTCTGCAGGTTATGGAACAACAACCTTTTCCCACCTTGACGAACAACCCTCGCCAAGTGTCAACTGGGTGCACTGTTGCATCTGTAGAGTTTTGTTTCTTTTTATTTTAGTTGAGCTGTCATAGCAGGAAGGTCTGACCTGAGCCCTGAGTTGCCTCACAGCGGTAAAGATAGTCTTTGGTGCCTATGTAGGGTCAGGTTTTAAACTCATCCCTGTGTTGCTGTAAAACAGTGACTGTTGTTTAGCTGTTTGACCTGACTGATGTAAAGGAGAACGGGCCAGAGAGGAATGAGTCCTTATCGGTTGATGGTGTTATAGGAGGTCTGGGAGGCCGGATCCAGGGGCTTGGCCAAGGCCTCTGCCTCATGCTGGTCCTCAGGGCCGGCCTCGATGATGGGCTCCTTATCCTCCTCTATATCCTCGTCACAATGGGGGAGCTGGAAGAAAGAAGTCAGGCCATGCAGGTCGGCCATCCGGTGGAAGGTACGCAGGACCAGGTACATCATCATCAGCCCTACAAACAGGTACACTGCAGAGGACAGAGGGCACAACATTAATTCAACATCAGCTCCATGAGCAAGTATACACTGTGGGAAGAAGCATTATATATGGACATAGTCACTTGTCTCACAAAGCACAAAGTCACCACACTGTTGTGCTCGTGGTATATTCCTGCTTGACAAGAAGGCCAACTATTCAACAGGCTTCCTCACGATACAGTTATGCTTTTATGCCATATCATGGTTAATTTGTTTAAACAGTTGTTTCAGTGCAGGTCAGTAAGCGGAGTAGACTTACACCTCCCTTGTGACTTAAATTCTGTCATGCCATGTTGTGGGGTATTTTTTGATAAGTGTATACTGATATGAGCAAAACAACTTATTTTCCAGTAGTTGCTAATCCTCCTAGGAAACGAGAACAACCAACCAGGTTAATAATCTGGGGGATCTGGCCTACATAGTTAGGGCCCTGTGTTTTGGTTGATCATGTCAGATTACCTAGATTTTAACCTTTAATGAGAATTACATCCAAAATTAAAGCAATTGTCTGAGGATGGTGCTGGACCATATTACATAAAAAGAAAAAGGGGATGAACAAGCTTTAAATAAAAGTTAAAATCCAGGTCATGTGAGATGATCAACCAAAACACAGGGCCCTAAAACAAGGCAACAAGCTGCGTATTGAAGCACAGCGCGGACCCTGAGACAACGCCACAGAGCCAGCCACCACAATGACCGCAGAGTACAACACCACCACTAGGCTCTAAACAGTCTGGTTATTTTGAGAGAGAATAAAGGGGTAATTCAATTATACCTTAAAAACTAAGAGCATGACTTAGATAAAATGTCATGTGACAATATGAAATCCCTCCAAGTACAAGTGGGGTAGATGGCGGTGTGGTATGGTATCCTTGACTCCCTACTGCAACATGCCCTTAAGTTGAGAGCAATCGCACCACACATTGCACTCTTCCCAAAACAAGCAGCCCAATTCAAATTCACCCATCCAGTATACCAACCAACCACAGACATTGTGAGATACATGAAGGGGGCAGTGGTGTGACACCGTTTAGTTTCCTCCTGAAAACCACAAGAGGGCCTCCTTAGACTTCTACAAATGTACAAATATACTCAAACGATAAACCATATTGCATATTTGCAGTATCAGAATTGCATGTCTAGGGTCAACACAGGGATAAGGAATGCATCCATTTTCTTTCATCGGCTGAACCAAGTTATCGGGAAAGTCATGCAGAGTCATCATTCTGACTAATATCACCTGACATTTGGCCCACAAGAAGTCTAGACATTGAGCACAATGTAGAGCAGAGGTGTTCTGTCCTCTCTCATCTTCAAATGATGAGTATTTCAAATATATCTTCTAATAAGCACATTTTAAAACTAAAACAAACAGCATTTAGTAGTTCTTAAAATCGCTTCCTTGGACGTTATGGACCCTTTTGACCGGAATGCACTACTTGAGGGGAGGAGGAGCACTCAGGAGGCACCATTTCTCACATCCGAGGTGTGAAAGTCTAGCTCATCTCAGTACTGGAGAGGTGGTGTTGGGCCGAGCGTCTCTCACTTCACTCAAGTGTCTGCACACGGTCAAAACGGTCAAGTCCACTTATACCTATGCACATCCCTCTGCTTAAAACATTGATGCATTTCGTCACTGTTCACACTATTATTTCCTTGTTTTCTAGTCAAAGGATAGAGACTTCAGTGCAAAAAATTCTAACTCAACATCATGAACACCAATATTTAAGTTGAATGAGTAAATGAGTATCACAGAATTTAGTCTGAGCTGTGTCATGAGCAGTGTCAGTGTGCCACGCCCTGTTATCAAAACACACAGACTAGTTCATGACTCACCCATCACAGAGATCTTATAGAGCGACCTGAACTTCTGTCCGGGCTTCTCGCCGGGCACGTAGTCACCCAGGCCGATGGTACACAGCGTGATGAAGCAGAAGTATATGGCGTCCAGGAAGGACCAGGTGTCCTCGATGTGGCTGAACACCACGGCGGGAACCACGAAGAAGCCCAGCACCACCAACAGCAGCAGTATGGCAAAGTGGACGGCAGTGGCGGCGAGAGGGTCCAGGCCGATCCTCTGGCGGCACATGCCGATGGGCCCGTAGGTCACCAGGTGCATGAGCCTTTGGACGCAGGCGGTGAGCACCAGCATGGTGAAGGGCACTCCCAGCAGGGCGTAGAAGATGGAGAAGGCTTTGCCCGTGTCCGAAAGGGGCGTAGTGTGCCCATATCCTGGGGAGGGTGGAGAGAGAGAGAGAGAGAGGTAAGAAGTTATTAGGATCCCATGCAAGCAAACACACAGTACAATAGCAGATAACATGCTGATGCCAGAGAGAGGTTAGTGATCTCGCCATCCAGCAAATTATAGCTATGATGGGAACAAGTAGGTTATCATTGAACAAAATGAAAGTGAACACAATCAATGACAGAATCAGCAAACAATCAAAAGGTGAACCAGTAACAAGCTGAAACTTTATTCAAGTAGGCTACCTAAGGACTGATTTCTTTCATTTCAAGAGTAGACTGTTTTGAATAATCTGTCTGAAAAGCGTGACTCACTCACCCCTCTCAAAAGTTAATTTGACTAATAAACTAAGCTACCTCCTGTTTCCAACCAAAAAACAGAAATTCTAGAAAGGCCTCTCCCTCAACTGCAACAAAACGAAGGAGCTGATCGTGGACTACAGGAAACAGCAGAGAGAACATGCCCCCATCCAGACCTAGCCCCAATGGAGAGGGTCAAAAGCTTCAAGTTCCTTGGCGTGCACATCACTAACAACCTGAAATGGCAGCGTTCTCCTGGCATCCGCCGAACCCAGATTAGTCCGTCGGACTGCCAGATGGTGAAGCGTGATTCATCACTCCAGAACAGGCGTTTCCACTGCTCCAGAGTCCAATGGCGGCGAGCTTTACACCACTCCAGCCGAGGCATTGTGCATGATGATCTTAGGCTTGTGTGCGGCTGCTCGGCCGTGGAAACCCATTTCATGAAGCTCCCGACTAACAGTTCTTGTGCTGACGTTGCTCCAGAGGCAGTTTGGAACTCGGTAGTGAGTGTTGCAACCAAAGGACACAATTTTTACGCACTACACGCTTCAGCACTTGGTGGTCCCGTTCTGTGAGCTTGTGTGGCCTACCACTTCGCGGCTGAGCCTTGTTGCTCCTAGACATTTCCACTTAACAATAACAGTACTTACAGTTGACCGGGGCAGCTCTAGCAGGGCAGAAATGTTACGAACTGACTTGTTGGAAAGGTGGCATCCTATGACAGTGCCACGTTGAAAGTCACTGAGCTCTTCAGTAAGGCCATTCTACTGCCAATGTTTGTCTACGGAGATTGCATGGCTGTGTGCTCGATTTTATACACCTGTCAGCAACGGGTGTGGCTGAAATATCTGAATCCACTAATTTGAAGGGGTGTCCATATACTGTGTGTGTGTGTGTGTGTGTGTGTGTGTGTGTGTGTGTATATATATATATATATATTTATATTAAAATTGATTTTTTGGGGGTTTGTATCATTTGATTTACACAACATGCCTACCACTATGAAGATGCAAAATATTTTTTGGGGTGAAACAAGAAATAAGACAAAAAAACGGAAAACTTGAGCGTGTTGGGTTTGCGCCAGACATTTTCCTTGATGGCCAAAAAGCTCAATTTTAGTCTCATCTGACCAGAGTACCTTCTTCCATATGTTTGGGGAGTCTCCCACATGCCTTTTGGCGAACACCAGATGTCTTTGCTTATTTTTTTCTTTAAGCAATGGCTTTTTTCTGGCCACTCTTCCATAAAGCCCAGCTCTGTGGAGTGTACGGCTTAAAGTGGTCCTATGGACAGATACTCCAATCTCCGCTGTGGAGCTTTGCAGCTCCTTCAGGGTTATCTTTGGTCTCTTTGTTGCCTCTCTGATCAATGCCCTCCTTGCCTGGTCCATGAGTTTTGGTGGGCGGCCCTCTCTTGGCAGGTTTGTTGTGGTGCCATATTCTTTCAATTTTTAAATAATGGATTTAATGGTGCTCCGTGGGATGTTCAAAGTTTCGGATATTTGTTTATAACCCAACCCTGATCTGTACTTCTCCACAACTTTGTCCCTGACCTGTTTGGAGAGCTCCTTGGTCTTCATGGTGCCGCTTGCTTGGTGGTGCCCCTTGCTTAGTGGTGCCCCTTACTTAGTGGTGTTGCAGACTCTGGGGCCTTTCAGAACAGGTGTATTTATACTGAGATCATGTGACACTTAAATAAAGTCCACCTGTGTGCAATCTAACTTCTGAAGGTAATTGGTTGCACCATATCTTATTTAGGGGCTTCATAGCAAAGGGGGTGAATACATATGCACACACCACTTCTACGTTATTCATTTTTTAGAATTGTTTGAAACAAGTTATTTATTTCACTCCACCAATTTGGACTATTTTGTGTATGGCCATTACATGAAATCCAAATAAAAATCAATTTAAATTACAGGTTGTAATGCAAGAAAATAGGAAAAAAATGCCATACATATTTACACACACACACAGTACCAGTCAAAAGTTTGGACACACCTACTCATTCAAAGGTTTTTCTTTATTTTTACTAAGTTCTACATTGTAGAATAATAGTGAATACATCAAAACTATGAAATAACACATATGGAATCATGTAGTAAGCAAAAAGGTGTTAAACAAATCAAAATATATTTTATATTTGAGATTCTTCAAATAGCCACCGTTGATGACAGCTTTGCACACTCTATGCATTCTCTCAACCAGCTTCACCTGGAATGCTTTTCCAACAGTCTTGAAGGGGTTCCCACATATGCTGAGCACTTGTTGGCTGCTTTTCCTTCACTCTGCGGTCTGACTCATCCCAAACCATCTAAATTGGTTTGAGGTCGGGGTATTGTTGAGGTCAGGTCATCTGATGGAGCACTCCATCACTCTCCTTCTTGGTCAAGTAGCCCTTACACAGCCTGGAGGTGTGTTGGGTCATTGTCCTGTTGAAAAACAAATTATAGTCCCACTAAGCGCAAACCAGATGGGATGGCGTATCACTGCAGAATGCTGTGGTAGCCATGCTGGTTAAGTGTGCCTTGAATTCTAAATAAATCACAGACAGTGTCACCAGCAAAGCACCCCCACACCATAACACCTCCACGCTTTACAGTGGGAACTACACATGCAGAGATCATCCGTTCACCCACACCGCGTCTCACAAAGACGCAGCAGTTGGAATAGAAGATCTCAAATTTGGACAAATTTCCACCGGTCTAATGTCCATTGCTCATGTTTCTTTGCCCAAACAGGTCTCTACTTCTTATTGTGTCCTTTAGTAGTGGTTTCTTTGCAGCAATTCGACCATGAAGGCCTGATTCACACAGTCCCTTCTGAACAGTTTATGTTGAGATGTGTCTGTGACTTTTATTTGGGCTGCAATTTCTGAGGCTGGTAACTCTAATGAACTTATCCCCTGCAGCAGAGGTAACTCTGGGTCTTCCATCCCTGTGGCGGTCCTCATGAGAGCCAGTTTCATCATAGCGCTTGATGGTCTTTACGACTGCACTTGAAGAAACTTCAAAGTTCTTGAAATGTTCCGTATTGACGGACCTTCATGTCTTAAAGTAATGATGGACTGTCGTTTCTCTTTGCTTATTTGAGCTGTTCTTGCCATAATATGGACTTGGTATTTTATCAAATAGGGCTATCTTTTTAAAGTATATATTGTGTGCATTGTGTTTTATTTTATTATTGCTAGGTATTGTCCCGTGTAGCTCAGTTGGTAGAGCATGGCGTTTGCAACGCCAGGGTTGTGGGTTCGATTCCCACGGGGGGCCAGTATGAAAACAATATATTTAAAAAATGTATGCACTCACTAACTGTAAGTCGCTCTGGATAAGAGCGTCTGCTAAATTACTAAAATGTAAATGTATTGCTGCACTGTTGGAGCTAGAAACAAGCATAACATCTGCAAATCTGTGTACACGACCAATGAACTTTGATTTGATTTGTAAGAAAAATCAAAAAACTACTTCAGGTTAGAGCTGCCCTGTCCTTTCAGGTCCAACTCTAAGTGAGGCCTATGAGGAGGACAAAGCTTGTACTGTGTTCATCTCATGAGATACTCAAAAGTTATGTTAGTCTCCTGGAGGGTAAGAGGAAATCTCATATTTAACCTAATATAGCCTGCAGACCACTACACACAAAGGAACTCACTTATAAAAATAAATCAAAAAAAGGTTGATGAAAGGGAGCATTGCTTGCTACTCAATACTAAATATTCCTGAATAAAACTTTACACAAAAACAATTCCTTCCACAGATGGCCCTGTATGAACAGGGAAAAGTGCATTTTAAACTCCCCTCCATGTCTCCGACCACTACTTTGTATCCTTTTCTCTCTCGCTCTCCTCCAACACTACTCACTCTGCCCCTACTCAGATGGTAATGCGCCGTCGCAACCTTCGCTCTCTCTCTCCCGTTACTCTCTCCTCTTCCATCCTATCATCTCTTCCCTCTGCTCATTCCTTCTCCCTCCAATCTCCTGATTCTGCCTCCTCAACCCTCCTCTCCTCCCTTTCTGCATCCTTTGACTCTCTATGTCCCCTATCCTCCCGGCCGGCTCGGTCCTTCCCTCCTGCTCCGTGGCTTGATGACTCATTGCGAGCTCACAGAACAGGGCTCCGGGCAGCCGAGCGGAAATGGAGGAAAACTAGACTCCCTGCGGACCTGGCATCTTTTCACACCCTCCTCTCTACATTTTCTTCATCTGTTTCTGCTGCTAAAGCCACTTTCTACCACTCTAAATTCCAAGCATCTGCCTCTAACCCTAGGAAGCTCTTTGCCACCTTCTCCTCCCTGCTGAATCCTCCTCCCCCTCCCCCCACATCCCTCTCTGTGGATGACTTCGTCAACCATTTTGAAAAGAAGGTTGACGACATCCGATCCTCGTTTGTTAAGTCAAATGACACTGCTGGTCCTGCTCACACTGCCCTACCCTATGCTTTGACTTCTTTCTCCCCTCTCTCTCCAGATAAAATCTTGCGACTTGTGACGGCCGGCCGCCCAACAACTTGCCCGCTTGACCCTATCCCCTCCTCTCTTCTCCAACTCATCCTTGACCGCTGGCTATGTCCCTTCCGTCTTCAAGAGAGCGAGAGTTGCACCCCTTCTCAAAAAACCGACACTCGATCCCTCTGATGTCAACAACTACAGACCAGTATCCCTTCGTTCTTTTCTCTCCAAAACTCTTGAGCGTGCCGTCTTTAGCCAACTCTCTTGCTATCTCTCTCTCAGAATGACCTTCTTGATCCAAACCAGTCAGGTTTCAAGACTGGTCATTCAACTGAGACTGCTCTTCTCTGTGTCACGGAGGCTCTCCGCACTGCTAAAGCTAACT